CCCCCCCCCGCATAAATCACAGTCCCCACCCACCCCCTCTCTGGTGGTAGAAGTGGAGTTAGTGATCTTAACTCTCTGAGGGCAGAGGTCAACCCTCTGTCAACGTCAGCATGCCTCCCCACCCCCACTCCTCGCTGGTTCCTCGGAGCAGACAGAACCAAGGCCCAGGCTGGGATTTGAAAAGTGCTATCCCTTCTGCGGGCCTGCACGCATTCAAGGCCTTCATATGGGCTGCTGCCACTAGACTTTTGGCCACTGGGGTGGAAAGGTCAGGGGTAAGAAAGCACCAGGGGCAGGAGAGGAGAGAGAAGGGGGTCATGGTCATACCAGTTAGCTCACACCACCAGTGAGCTCCAAGCCAAACGCAGCACCCCAGCAACAGCCAAATAACTCCCCAAACACCTGTAGGCCCATCTCCATCTGCATCTAGAATCTCCAGGTAACTACCCATCTCCATCTGCATCTAGGATCTCCAGGTAACTACCCATCTCCAGACCACAGCTGGAGGAGTATTCCCACCACCACCGCGTTGGAGCAAATCCACATCCTGACTGAACACACAGTAACAGAGGCAATTCGCTGGAAAACGCAAATCCAAATGAGATTCAGTTTCCTAACAATAAAGTAAGGCTCCCTCTCAAGACTCTGGGCAATAAACACAGTCGTGAAATTAATTCTTCCTGCTAAAGACATCCACAATTCTCGACAGGAAGGTCAAAGGTGTCAGAGGGTGAACAAGCCAAGGGAAGGTCTATTCGCTGGATGCCAGTCAGGCAACAACGTAAACATAGCAAAGTCACATGTGCCCATGAGAGCTAGAGCAGACCCTTCAGGGTTCCTGGGACCACATTCAGGAAGAGGACACTTAATGGACGTAATTAAAATCCTCCCACAACTTCTAGGACCTTTGGACTTTTGAGAAGGAGGCATTAGGGCAGCAAAGAGATGTGTTTTTTAAAGAACTAATTGTGTCATCATAGTTTTATCCAAGCCCTGAAATGTATAAACATTCACAACATGTAAGATGACTAGTTTTGAAAAAGTAATGTTACTTCTAAGCTCAAATATGTACAATGCACTGAATCAAAAAAATTTAACTTTCTTCTCCCTACTCCTCTTTTCTTCCATTAGTTATACTACTTAGGCTTAAATCCATATCTATCACAGAGAAAGTTCAGAGGTCTCCAAATAAATATGGCCATCAAACACCAATGAAAAATTTTTTTCCTTTGCACGTTTAATAGTTATGCTTTATTCAGTAAGAAGTATAGTTACTTGATAAGCAAAATGCCACTTTTAGTTAATGAACACATGCCTTTTTCTTCTAAGTTTAAAATGGAACAAAAAACGAAATAGCATAATGTCTTGAAAACTCAAACAAGCATATTATAGAAAGTCAAGCGCACATGCTCAGACAAGCTCCTTCCCGCCGAACATAATCAGCTTATATTTCAGTTTCCTATTTCTGTGGCATTAAGGTATAATGCAGCTGAAACTCTAAACACAACCTCCAGTCAGCTCTCAGCCACTCCCACGAAATTCTTTTTAAAAGACTCCTTCTGGTAAATTATGAATAAGACCAATAGGTATCCTGGAAAATGAATAAATAAAAAATCCACAACAACTCAATAAACTGAGTGCTGGTTTTTCCAGAACAATCCATGACTAAAGTCTACTAAATTCCTAGGTCACGTTGTTCATTTGCCCTACTTGGTAAGGCTGAAAACCATCTGTTAGCATATACTTCATTTCAAAGTATTCTGGAAAGAAGTCTCCACTTCTTTTTCACGTAAAAGTATTGGTGCAGATCTCCGCATCAGATGCTTCACTTACGAAACTCAAAGATGTCCAGTCGGAGCAAATAAGGTAAACAAAGTTAAAGTTTAATTTATGGAAGTGGGAACACAAAGTGCTTTTAACATTGTGATCTGTTTTCCAAAGCAGTTCTCCCTCAAGTCACTCAATCTGGGTGTCTGGACAACACCTTATAAAGTTACAAACGCAGGACTGCAGAGTTCCAGGAAAACTCAAAATGAATTGGCCAGTCAACCTGAAAAGTCGTTTACAAAGAACGTCAAGATTAACACTGGTGATGCAAATTAATACCAGTTACCTATGCCAATGTTAAGAAGCCCTCGTGGTGCAGTGGTTAAGTGCTCAGGTGCTAACCCAATGGTTGGCTGTTCGAACCTACCAGCCACTCCTTCCGTAAAGATTACAGCTTTGGAAACTTGTGGGGCACTTCTACCCTGTCCTATAGGTTTACTATGAGTTGGACTGGACTGACTGGCAATTTTTTTTTTTTGACGGGGGGGATGCCAAAGTTAAAGCTCTTGTTCTAGTACATTTCAGTATATTAAGAAATTCTGAAAGAATACTCTGATAAACAAAAGCCTTCAGAAATTAAAATAAGTAAAACTCCTCTCTCTCTCTATCCATTGTTGGGTACTGTACACATCTAATAGGCTATTTTGGCATTTTGTTTAGTTTTAGAAAGGCAGCCCATTCTTCTTGGTTGACCTAATTACAGATCCCCACGGATTACTATTTTTTTTGAATGTTAATGCGCTCTGACAACCTCAATATATTCACATTAGCAAATTTAAGAAAACAAAGTCCTAGCAAATTCACTAAGAAAAACACTGACCATGATATGTTTTTAAGTATTCCAACACGTCAAAATTCTAATAACCAAAATACAAGTGATTCTTACATCTAGTGAGTTGCAGAGAGCTCATTTTATTCCAGGGCCTGTTCAAGATGGCCAGGGTGGTTACTCTTGTGAAACCAAAGATGTCCTCCTCCCAGGAGTAACCCAACTCTCACACGGATGCACCACAGGTGGGGCCCCTGCTCAACTTCAGCCCTCAATTTTACTAAGAGGGGGTCACCTCTCTGATTCTGCTCAGTAATCGAGTGGGGTATATTAAATTCTAGCCGAGATGTGAAAAGATAAACAACACAGCTATTTAGACGCCACAATCAAAGAATGTTTAAGAGAAAATGAAGCAAGGACAAACCAAGGATAAAGTGAGCTTTTTTTTTTTTTTTTAAACATAGCAGTGGAGTATTCTATCCGATATAAGGAATGCCTAGTACCTCAGATCGGGCCAAATACCACGAGCACATTAACAGGAGGGTTTTAAAAAACAGTCTGGAAAACACTGTGTTGGAGGAATCCTACCCTTGCTTCTGCTCCGGTCAATATTTTAATACCATTTATTACACGGCCATACGGTGAACGCACATCTATCAATTTTTCAATCGTCTCTAATCAGCACTGGAGACGGAATGGCAGAAGCACGGGGACATGCAATCACAGGATCCCCGTCCTGAACAAAGTTCACTCCCTGCGTGCTGTACCCTCGGGGTGGGCTTCATGCCTGGGCTTCAGGAGCTTAGGGCGGCCCGGTGAGAACCGGGGACGTTCCCCGCACATCCCGGCCTTTGTTACGCACCGAGGGCTCTGCCCCACGCCCAGAAACACATCTGGTTTCGACGGGCACCCCCCACTGCAGCTGGCCTAGTTGTAGGAGAGGCTTGGGAGCTGACCAGCAGGACAAGGACCCCCGCCCGGTGTCGGGGAGGGGGTCCTGGGCCGGGCCCCCATCAGGTGTGTACACCCATGTAAGTGCCTGGGCCACGCCTCTGCACCCCCGCTCCGCCGGAACAAAGTGAAGTTTAAAATAGAAAGCGATTACCTGCCTCCGCCGCGCGGGCCGGGTCCACGCCGCGCCCCCCGCCCGGGCCCCTCACCTCTCCCCTCCCCCACCCTCCCCCCGCCCCGCACGGACCCCGCCTTTGTTACCGCGAAGTTGGCGGTGCGGGCTCCTCGTCCCTTTCACTTCTTGGGTTTCAGGCCGGCCGAGTGACGTCCCCCCTCCGCGGGCGGGGCGGGCGGAGGCGGGGAGGGGCGACAACTGCGCTGCCGAACGGGCCCCCGCCCCCGCCCCTTCCAAGGCCCGCCTCCCGCCAGCCAGCAACAAGGCGCAGCAGCCGCCCGGGGAGGGGGCGGGGAGGGCGAGGGGAGGGAGAAGACCAGAGTAGGGGAGGGGGAGGAGTCACAGGGAGGGGGCGGGGCTGACCCAGGCCTGGGGGAAGGGACGCGGGGGGCTGGCCCGAGGGGCGCCGGGGGCGGGTCGGAGGATGGGGTGCCGAGGTGTGGGAGCTCGGATAAGGGGTCGGGGTGGGCGAGGACTCGGAGCTGGGGCGGGCAGGTAAATCTCTCCTACCCGCTTCCCTCGCCCCAAATCACACACCTCGTGGTCCCCCCCCCCAGAGCCCCGCGTCTCCGAAACAAGACGATTTAATAGAGTGACACCTTCATACGGCTGCCCACTCTCTGCACCGTGAGCTCACTGCAATCCAGGAGCAGCGGGCGAGGGGAGCAGAGTCGAGCCCACCTCGGGTTTGGGGTCGAAAGAGGGGGCGCAGGCTGCACACCGGCGGGGGTGCGTCTCCCCTTGGCTAGGTTACGTCCTGTGCAAGACGGAACCCCGAGGGTCCGCCACCGGCTTGACCCCCACCGGCCCCGCAGGGGTTCACGGGCCTTAACCGGAGACACGCTGGTCCTTAACTCGCCCATTGCATCACCACTGCCAGGGCGAAGAATAAAACCCACAACAGCACGGGCATCCCGAGGACACACGACCTTCCGGATGCGAGGCGAGAACGCACGATGCTGCGGGTCGGCTCCGCGCATACCCCAACCCCGCGCACGCGAGCCGCCATCCGGGCCCGCATTCCCGGCCAAGTAGGTGCTTCGGATGCCAGCGCAGAGCCATGACCTGACCACGGTGCGGGGTGGGCATGGCCGGAGCTTACAGCGGGCAAGGGGCAGCATAACTTTCTTTGTAACTGACCAGGATTATTTTACGCTCTAGAATGTGCCATGGACGGACCGTCCACTTCCAATGGGAAAATAATATCTGAAGTTTTAAGAGCCATGGTCTCGCACTGTCCAGAACATCCAGGACACAGACCGTTCGGAAGCTAGTCCTCGGTCCTAACAACCTGGCTGCGCGGGGCAGCGCACCCCATCCCCCGGCTCCCCACCGGGAGGCGCGCCAGCCGGGTGGGCGTGGAAACGGATGGAGCCTCACATCTCAGTTCCCTCTGCTGGGAACGTAATCACATCCCTCCTCTCCGCTTCCCCTTCTGCAGGTTTCGGCTTGAATGTGGAAGCGCCTCCGTGCCAGTTCTTCCCAGGGCACTTACAGGCGGCAGGGGCTCCATTTGTCCGGCAGCTCGCCCATCTACAAGGAAGGATGGGTGAAAGCGGGTCCGCGTCTACGCCACACATCCATGTGGATCCCGAAGCCTTCGGATTGCCGGCTGGGTGGATTCAACAGTGTGGAGCCGCCTGGGCGCAGCCGCGCGCGCGCACACACACACGCGCACACACACACGCACGCATACCCCAAATTACCTCCGAGATGGAGGGCGCAGCTGCGGATTGGCCGGCAGGCCCGTCACTCACACCCAGGGGCCGCGAGACGCAGCGCAGGGCGACTTTGCAAAGGCTGTTTCCTTTTTTTTTTTGTTTTTTTTTTTGTTTTTTCCTTCAACTGTTCCATTTAATGGTAAAACAACAGCCGAGCTCTGAAAGTTAGCCATCTGCGCGGCGGCAAGAGTTTGTCTTGTTTAACGAGAGGAGCGTCAGACGATGCCCATTTAAATACATTTTGTACTTTCACCGTGGATGAAAAGGGAAATCAGAAACCGGAGTGGGGGCGGCGAGGAGCTCGGAATACGGAGGAGGGGCATTGGGAGGGTAGGCGTAGGGGGAAGAGTTGTTCTCAGCCCCCAAAAGGGACTCTGACCTTCCAGAATATCCAAATTAAAAAATGTTTGTCACAGGGCAAATGATCACAAACGCCCCTCCCTAATGTATGAACTTATTATTTTAATTTCCTTATTTAATCATGCGCCAGCAATCGCGCTTCCTTAAGAAAGAACTGACCTATTTTTGCCTGGAGATAAACGGTGGTGTTAACAGACGTTAATCTTGTAATCTGTTTTTCCTGTAAGCACTCGGCAGAGCCGCGTCTCAGACCTTAAAAATAACGTCTTTTCCAAAAAGACTTGACGTCACAATCCACTCCCTTGAAAATTCCTCCCCACCCCACCTCCAGTTTTTTCCCCCTGCAACGATTTCAAAGACATTAAATCTTTTTCACTTTATAAATACTGATTTGTTCTGCCTCAACTCCCACAGGCTTTTATTTGCATTTCAAATTCCACAGGTTACACCGGTCGCCTTTTCAGAAAATGTAAACCAACAAAAAAGCAGCAACTGGCTTTCTGTGCATCTGGATTAAATAAGGCACAGAATGCAGAGATTTCAGAGGAGGGCCGAGCCGGCTGGTCCAGACCCACGCCTGCTCATGAACACAGTGATGTGCGTGAGATGCAGACACACAGCACTCCTGCCCCGGAACATGCTCGCTACTGCGGGAGCGCATTAACGCGGATAATTCGTGACGTCGGCTCACAGAGCCGCACTTCTCGGTTAAACGGCCGGGGCTTTCCGGGCCGGAATTGCAGAGGTTCGCTGGTTCCAGCAAACAACGGCGGATTGTCACTGCCCACCTATCTGCCCCTACAAACCGCGGGTCTTAACCACCCTCCTTGGATGGCTTTTAACAAACTTATTCATACAAAGTTTCTCTAAGACTCGGCTTAGCGGCTTGATCGACGTCATGATCGTAACTATGTTAGTTCTCCAGGGTAATGGCAGCGGAGGCGGCCCCCCCCCGCTACCTCACCCCACCCCACCCCCAATGCATTCTTTTCTATCCGTGGGCACAGATCGCGATCATTAACTCCCCCCACCCCACGCGGACCCAGCGAGGCTGCTCGCCTCCGCAGAAACCGCTGCCCCTGCCCATCCCTTCAGACCCCGGCCCCCTGCCCGCCGCGCCCCTGCCCAAACTTCCCTGGAGAAGCTCCACTTCTTTAAAGCGAGAATCACTCCTGAGCTCCCAGCTGATGGGCGGGGAATAGGGGGAGATCCGCACGCTGGCGCCAGCGGCTGAGCCGAGCCGATCCCCCTCGCTCCCCTCCACCCACCCGCAATAACCGCAGGGCCGCTAGGGCCCGCAGCCCAGCACCCACCTTCATTAGCCGGCGCGCTGACTTTAAAGTCGGGCAATTTGCTCTTTGTCTCCTAGTGGCTGGAGGGCGCTCGGCTCCTCCGCCCGCGCCGCCCGGGCCCAGGGTACAAAGCCGAGCCTCCCCGCGCCCGGTCTCCCGCACCCCACCCTCTACTGCGGTAACACACCTCACGGGCGCCCAGCGACCCGAAGTTCCCGCGCCCGGCATTGCGGAGCGGACGCGCGGCGCGCTGGGGCTGCCG